GCCATCATTGTTGTTTGGCGGGTCCGGGCTGGGGATTCAAACCCGCCACCTTAGGTGTACGTGGCTGGCGCCTTAGCTGGTTGAGCTATAGGCGCCGAGCCTGTCTTTATTTTTAATAAAGTGCCTACTAGTAATTCGAGGTGTACTCCTTAAGAACTCAGTGTGAAAGGAGGGGGAAGGAAAGCTGATTCCATGTTTATCGTGAACTCAACAGCAAGTGGCTTCAACAACAGCATCAGGACTTCGGTGCCAGAATTTCCCCTGGCTTGCTGCACTCCCACAACATGTGCAATAAAGTTCCTGTCTCCGTTTTACATCTTTGACATTGAGGCGGAAGATTTGGCCTGAATTTATGTAATTTAGTTGGGCACAAATATAACCCATGAATAGTCACATTCATCTTCTAATTAGAAAATCAAACGATAATACAGGACAGGCTGCAGACACCCCATCATTGAATCCAACAAAAGCGTGTTGTGTGTGTTGGGCCTTTACGGAGGAAAGTCAGTTGAATTGCTTTATGAAGTTAATGAAAAGTGTCCAACAATAGGTGAGTGAAAGGCGCAAACCAAGAGCCCTGTCGGTTGTTTAGTGTGCAGAGATCTTTGCATTATGGGTAAAGAATTTTGAAGAATCTTCTACCACTGATATGAATCATGGGGCGATAAAATTCTAGATTGAACAGCCCCCCCCCATTTGTAGTGCCAGTTCCTCGTGGGGAGGGAGGAGAAAGGCAAAGAGTAACTGAAGAAATAATTAGAGAAAGGAGGAGAGAGGTTTTCATATGTTCACACGTACATGGAGCTGCTTATCTGGGTATCTTTCTTATTCAGCACATTATGTTGGGGCTATTAGTTTGGGTGCTTTATATTTTTGCATCTGAAGTAGTGATATCAGTGCTGTTAAATATGTGATTTGCCTGTCGCCTGCATTTTCAGACAAAGATCAAGAGGAACATAAACAAGCCCCAAATATACTTTATGTAGGTGTTTGGCAGTATTATTTTATATGACTTGGAATTAGTGAATGGAAACTTTAAAAGAAATTGTTCATATTTTTGCAAGTTTGAAGTGTGCCGGGACTTTGTCAAATTCCCGTTAAAATAAATACGTCAATTTCATCTCCCTTCCAAATTCATTTATCTTGCTTTTTTAAAAGGTGTTTTCTACTTTACCTGATGTTTAAATTGGATTCACTCGTTTATGCTGTTCTTTGCTATATCCCCCACGTTCTTCTTAAATGAATTACTAATGACAGAGCACTCCATCATTCCCTCTCTGCAGCCACTTTAAGGAAAGCATGGTGATCTAAACCTTTTAACCTATTAAAGATGATTTTTCCCAATTGAATCAGACCCACCACAGGTGTAATAACTAATCATTTAAACTACACCTGCTATTATGTATTTTTAAGCCATTATGCGTGTTGGATAGATGATAATTCATGTTTATTGCATTGTCCGATGGATCCGTTTTGCCTACACTAGGCTGATTAATGTATTTAAAGAAATAAGAGATGCAATTTTTAAAAAAAAATTGATGGAATGCGCCAAGCACTGCATTGAGTGCACCATTAAACCCATCAGAACTTTGCTCTCTGACCAGAAATGCATATACCAAGGACTATATTAAAAAAGCAAGGTGAAACCTGTGCGTTTTAGTGGTGGGATTCTGTTTTCTTTCTCTGTCATGGAACATTTTGGAAGAGTGAAGGAGAGGTTTCTGTTTCTGTGGGTAAATGGTAGAGGCTGAGCTGTTAGCGTCTATTGCTCAAGACCTGTTCATCCACCTTCCCCCTGACACCTGGTACACGTACCATGACATGCAGAGACTGCCTGCCGCGTGACACGGATACCATAATTTTCTTGTGTGTCGAAGGTGTATTTTTTCTCTAGGTGAAGAACAAGTATCCCCATGACACCTGAGCTGTGCAGACAGGCATTGACCCTGTGAGGCCAGCGGCTACATACCTGTCTGTTCTCTTTCCTAGGCAGGGGCGTCTCTTGGTTTTGCTTTTCTCCTCTCCTCCTCCTCCCCGTTCCTCCTCCTCTTCTATTCTGTCTCCTCTTGTCCTGTTGCCTTCATTCCCTTTTCTTTTTTTCTCTTCTTTCTTTTCCTTCCTCTCCACTCTTCTCTCTTTGTTAAATGCACCAGTATGGCAAATAGTTGCTAGATTTTGCTTGGCTTTGGTGTGACCTGCAGAGATCTGGTTGAGGGACTGTGGGATGAATGTGCCGTTTCGGGGCTCTAGAATCTGAAGCATTGATTTTTCTTTAGCCCAGAACTGGCTATTGTCACTACAGTTCCTGATGGTGGTTAGTACTATTTGCAGTGTTGGAGGACAGATTATAACCTGTAAGGAGCAGGGCTTAATTCCCAAGGGACACTTGTGTATCTTACTAGTGACAGGCCCAGATCTGAAAAGAGAATTGAGGGGGGGGGGCCACCGAATTCATCCAATAGGGGCAATGTCTAGGGTAAGCTGGACTCAGAATGGTTATAGGCAAAATCAATGAGGACATTTCCTTGGCTTTTTTTCTTTCTTTTTGGTTTATCCTCATATCTTTTGTTCCTGAGAAGTCAATCTGGTCTCAGGATTAAATTCATATAAAATATGGGGAAGGAGATGATCTGTAACTTGTATTAATATCTCATTTCATTTATAGTCACAGTACTTTCTGTTTGAATCTCTGCACAACTGGTGCAGGAGGATCTCAGAAAACTTCCTTATAACTGCCTTAGAAATTTTTCTTTCAACAACTTATCAGTGAACAATGGGGCCTGTTGACCTTTCTGTAACATGAGATTACATTATTCTTTTGGTTTTGATGAGGCGAATAATACTAGTCACTTAAAGTGGCCCCTTTCCTACCTGGGGAAGGTTGATGTTTCTGGCCCATAGGACAGGTGTCTGGGATGGAGAGCAGACAAGCTGTGTGCAAACACGTCTCGTGAGTTGAGTGATGTGACGGTTAATAACTTCAAGAGTTTTTTTTCTCGTCCACTACCAGGCTTATTTGTAGATATGGAGATTTCATTAAATATTATTCATTACTAGAGGTAGGTAGATAATCTGTCAGCTTTTAGCCATGAAACCACAACTTTGCCATTTGAAGGCTCTTCAGAATTCAGCTCCAATGCACACGAGGGACCAGTGTGCACGGCCGGCTGTGTTGTCTCTTACATAATCCCTTCCAGCCAGGACGCATACGCTTAGCACTCTGCCAGGCTCTGTGTAGGCAGCATGGTCTCTTTCCTTCGGTTGCTTGCTGTGTAGTTGGGGAGGCAGCCTGAACATTAGAGGACAGTGTAATTATGTCTTCAGTTACGTGGTACACACTACAAGCATCTAGGAGTTGAAGAAAATAGGGAGATCAGAGCTGGCTTATTTAGGGAATGCTTCAAGAAGTCAGAACAGATTGTAAAAGGGCTGTGCCAGTTGTGTATGTGTGTGGGGATAACGTTTAGACAGGGAGAGGTGGGAAAGGTTGGCCTTCCAGAAAGGGAAGATGCATGGCACAAGAGTGGTGACGTGGGTGAGCATGGCCTGCTAAGGGTGTGAAGAATCAGCCTAAAGAACTGGGGAGAATGGGGAGGTCCATTGCAGGTTTGAAGAGCTGGGCCAAGGGGATTGGATCTCGAAGACTCAGAGATGGGAAGCCAGAGAAGACAGGGAAATGACAATTGGTTATAAATTTGACCATAGTGGTATGCTTGTTTCTATAGACTTGGGAAAAACTCAGGGGGGTTTAATCTTGAAATGCAGGCTATTGAAGTTGACTTCTCTTTTCTGTTTTACTTCCTTCACCAGATTGCCACAGCTGTGAAGTTTCTACAGAATTCCCGGGTCCGCCAGAGCCCACTTGCGACCAGGAGAGCGTTCCTTAAGAAGAAAGGTACAGGTTCCCCATGGCCATGCAGAGTGGCCTGCAGAGGGACAGGGGACGGGGCAGATGGAAGCCACAGTGTGGAAGGCAGGTGCTGAGTCACCAAGGATCTCCCAGAGCTGTCCATTCATGTTGGGGTGGGGAGTGGGGCTGAGGTGAGCTCCAGGTGAGGGGAGGTGAAGAGCGTACAGGTTTCTTCTTTTAGAGCGAGCAGAGAGATTACGTGATTTGGATGATGAAACACCAGCCCACAATGGCAAAGGCAGCCTTCAATAGTAGAATTGGCCCATTGGATGTGACTGTGAGAACTTGCCTTTTTTGGTCTGTTCTATCAGTGACCCTGGCTGCAGAATGACTAGCTTCAGGTTAAGAGGTCAGTAAAGGATGAGGAAGAAAGAAATGAAGGATGAGGGAAATGAGATGACTAAACAAGGTCAGGTTAAGGTCAAGCTTGGGGTCAGTCCAATTTACGGATTGAAGTGGTAAATTACTGGTTTCATGGTATTTCTGTAAGCAAGGATAAAATGGATCCTGACAAATTCAGTATTGTCTGAAGCAGACAGAATCTATTCTGGTTCCATTAGAGTTTAGGATACGTTTCTTTTTTGTTAAATGAAAACAAACAGCTAAAAAAGGAACCTGACTTTTCATTCTTTGTACATTAATTTTCCAAAAATCTAGAAAGTTGCTTAAAAGCCTTTACATACCATGAGGGTAAAAAGTGAGTCTTCCTTCCCTCCAAAACAAGACTTTTTTTCTTTCAGAAGCTGTAATGTTGGCCTCAAAATTCTGGGTTGTGAGCTTTCAGTCACTTTCAGCTGGAATAGAAGATGGAGTGTTTTTGTGTTATTTCCTATTCTGCTCCATGACACCCCCACCAGAGTGATGCAGCAGGACCCTGTTGGTCCCTTCACTCAATCATGCCCCTGGGCCTCACTCATAGGGTTTGGGCAGAATAAGCCCAAACATTTCATCACAGGCAGCTGCTTAGTGGCAGCCCCAAGGCCAGGTCCCTGTGACAGAGTTGGTGAGAAGCGCTGCACGCTTGCTGGCTGGCTGCATTGTGCCGGCCCCCCCATCATTAGGAGATTATTAAAATTTGGAGTGTGTTGGCTGGCCTCTCCACTCTGCAAGCATCATGCCATAAAAGAGTTTTTCCTTGAAATATGTGTACCTATGGGGAGTAATTAATCATAAAAGCTTAGGGATTTCAGCTCTCTCATCAAAGCATTGAAGCTGGGGAAAGCTGAGCCTAAAAGCTGAGCTGATTACCCGGGGTAACCTGAGACAAAATCTATGGTTGCCGAGAGATCCTTAGCTCCAGTATATTGTGCAATATTATAACTGCCTGATCTTCTCTTCCACCGACAATGACCAGTTAGTCCTCATTTTCTCTCAAACGCAGCTGGGTTAGAATTTCATTTGCAGAAGGTATTTAGAGCAATTTAGAGACAAATGTCTCTGGTGTTTGCTCGGCACTTCCCCACCGCAGGCTTTGCTGAGCAGTTTTAGTATCAGGAGCTCCATCTAATCTGTTTAATTTTAATAAATCCCTGGCTGGGAGAGGGAGTGAAAGAGAGAGAGAGAAAAACTCTGGACCAAATAATACTTCTTTTGAGTTACTTAGCTAATAATTCAGTAAAGGAGAAACTGTTTTGTGCCATTATTATTTGTTGTTCCTTTAGAAAAAAGAAACAATCACTTAATTAATTCATCTAAGACTCAGTGTGCACCCTGTTCCTTGCCCTGCCCTCTGCCTACCCTCCATCTGGATTTAGCAGAGAACTGAACAGACAAAATCCCTGCCCTCGAAGAGCTTAAATTTGAGTGCGGGAAAGGCAGACACTTGACAGATGGAAAATGAAATAGGTAGTGTGTCAAATGACAAGGGCCACAGGGTTAGAGTCAGGCAGGGGACATGGAGATGAGGAACATGGGGGTCTGTATGACTAGATAGGGTGGTGTCAGTGTGTCTCTGCGGGGGCAGCCTGTGAGCAGGGACCTGGGGGAGGTGAGTATTTGTTGGTAGAGTGGACATCATTCCTTCTTGGCCCCTAATTTGGGTTAGAGTTTGTAGAATTTTAGGCATTGGGCAGCTTGGCAAGCTGTCCTCCCCGTCTTCCTCTAAAGAGCAACACCGAGTTTACTCCTGTACTTAAACCCGGAATCACTGAGGTTAATCACCCATCTCCATTATCCTCTAAAATGCTGCTTCAGTCAGTAATTATCCATTTCCGAGTTGAATCCCAGTAGGGTAGGTTCTGGCAGGACCTTTTCTGGGCAGAGAATTCCAAGGTTTGATCAGCGTCTGGGGAAGAAAAGCCCCTGCATGGATTTAAACTTCACTTTTTAAATTTCCGGTTGTTCCTGGGTCAGGCTGCCATGATCAGCGTAGCTTGGCACCATCTCTGATGCAGATGAGAGAGGAGCATCCACTGTGCCCTAACAGTAGTTGTGGAGGGAAAGTTGGCTGGCTGGTCGTTGGGGCGGAGGGGCCGAGGTTCTGGCATCCGCAGGCCGTCTCCCTGCAGGATCGTTGCAGTGGTGGGTTTGGAGGCGGCTCGGGGAGGGCGCTCAGCTACTGTAGTCTTGGCTTTTCCTAGAAAATGTCACTTCAGGGAATTGCTATGGAGCACTGATTTGAATTATAATCTTGACTTTCTGTTTTTTAATAAACATCTCTTTCCTGAAAAGGCAAATCCAATTTTGTTTTTCTTTTAATATTATTTAATATTTAATATAGAAATTGAGGTCCCTGTACGGCATGTCAGTTCAGTGGGAAATGAGGGTTACTTTAGGGCGTCAGCTGAGTTTGTTTCATCCTGAAACCATAGCCAGGAGCAGAGGCTGCTTCCTGCCTCTGACACTGACAGGTTAAGTCTCTGACTTGGGGGCACAGGGGGCGTCTAGTAGGGAGTGAGTGGGATAGGAATATAAGAACACTGGTTTGCAAAGGTCTTTTCTGTTTGGGTTTTGGTTTTTTTGTTCTGAGATCTCTTTTGGATGCTTTAAAGTCTGCATGTGGAGTCATTAATGAGAAACATGGAGTTATTAGAATCATTTATCATTTTCTTTGAAGTTTGTACTGCTATTTTGTGTAATTTACAGCATTTCTTCCTTTTATCAGGAATTTTTTGGATGAAAGAGAAAAACAGCTGTTCACCTTCAGAGTATTAGAATAAATGTTTTCGTTTTCCTTCCAGCCTCTCAATTGTGCAGATGACATGTCCAGTGCAGGGTCAGCAACACATGAAGATGCCGGGACTGTGTGGGGTTTAAGCCCTTGTGGAACTGGCCTATATATAGAAGCAGTTCTTGCCAGGCAGGCACCTATCTGGGACTTTAAGCAGGCTGCAAATCCAGGAGGTTAGAGTGTTTTAAAAACAGCAATAGAATCAGTCCAGAAAGTTAGAGGCTTGGAAATTGTAGTCAATAGGCTTATGTTGATTTGACACCCTACCCAACCACAAAACGTAGGTAGGCAGTCTGCTTCCAGAGGCACTTGGCAGGCTGAGTATGAGGCGGGTGAAAGTAATGCCTGTTTGTGGGGTGGTGGTGGTGGGAGATGAGATAGAGTTAACTTTGACATATCTTTTGCAAAGCAAGCTTCTGGAAGAAAGACGAGCATAGTGTGTGTTTCTGTGTAATCCCACATACGGGCCACTACGGTGATGGTGGCTGACATTTGTACTTACTGTGCCTGTCTCAAGTTTTTAAGTCAAAGACTTTTCCCTCCCTCATTCAGTAAATAATCCTGGTTGGGGTAGGAAAACTAAACAACTGAAACATACCACCATACTTTACTTTCTCATTCTAATAGTTGAAACTAGATCTTATCTTTCTTCTGTTCCTGGAAACGGAAGCCCCAGTAGCAAAACTGCCTCCTTGCTGGAAATGAACTTGAGGAAGAAACCTAATGGTCCCAACCCTGGTTGTGGGCTAGAGGTGAAGGGCTTCTCTCACTGGAGTATTTTAAGGGGGAGTAAATTCTTACACAGATTTCAATTTAACTCTCTTTTATTACTTTTCTTTTTTTATCATTTATGTCCATTTCATGAGGTAGTTTGCATGTCCTTGAATGGAATCTCGTTACCATGAAAGCTTTTTTAGCATTGATTTCATAACAGTCTTAATTTAATAGCTCCGTCATTACTGAGAAGCTCTGGGAGTGGGGCCCTGGCTTTCCAGGTCACTGACCTTTTAATTACAAACCTTGTTCTGATGGCCAGGTTATCGACTGGACAGCTCCCAGCTTGTGCCCCCAGGATGAAAACGAAAATAACTGTGTTTCCTCCCCCATCTCCAGGAAAAAAAAATTGTAACCTCTTGTGTTTCTAAAATTAATTTTCTCCTTCAGCTTTACTTTATAATTAATTCTTTAATGTGTCTTAGTGCAGCCAGAAGTCTTTTTACAAAGCTTTTCTTCCTAGAGCTTGGGTCCAGCAGATAGCTTGGGGGGAAGGGACAGGATCTTGCCAGCTACCACCCCTCGCTTGCCTGCGGCCCCTTTCCTCATCCTCAGAAACTCCTGCGGCGGAGCTGGAAGGAGGAGAGTTGGCTCCGTGAGGGGCTGTCTGGCCCTTCTGATTCTTTGTTAACGAGACATGGATTATAGCATCAAGATTTAAATTCGTTCCTATATTTGCTGGAGTAATTGAACTGGGTATATCATGGGCATTTTAAAAAGATGTCTGAGAGAAGACAGGAGTTGAGCGATTCTGTTATTATTTCTTACCTCTCTATTAGAGGGAAACAAATACTCAACACAGTGGGTTCTGCTCCGGCTTGAACTTGACCCGGATAGATTGATCTACATTCTCTCCCTGACTGTGCAGAGAAAGAGAATAAAGAGAGGACAGTGGGCAGTAAGTAGGGTGACCATGGTTCCTGTTTGCCTAGGACTGCCCTGGGTTTAACATTGAAATTCCCATGTTGTGGACAGGCTTTCAGTCCTGGGCAAATAGGTCACTGTCATAGTAAAAACCTTGCTCAGAAGTGAGAGCCCCCCC